CGATGTTATGATGCGACGATGGAAGTGAATGGCGAAAGTACCAATGCGAGCAGTTGCGACGACAATGGTAATGGTATCGATAGCCAACGACGCCAGAACGGTAAATATGATAGTAGTGCAAGAGAACATTCCAGCGGACCATAATAATAATAATTATTAACTAATGGCTGGAACCGAGTCTCTGAAAGACCTTCCGTATCACAGGCTTCCAAGAGACGAAAAAGAAAGACAAACCATAACAACAATGCTCATGCCATCCCTTGTTGCAGTATTTCCGAAGCAACGAAGACGAAACAAGGGAAGAAATTGAAGATTAACACGCATGACACGAATGTAGAGGAATAAAAGCCCGTTGCAAAACGAGATGAAAACCAAGAAGAAGAAGGCTGTATGGTCGTATAGTCAGCATATCAGAAGTCCTGGAAGGAAACTGAGCTTGAACGGAGAAAAACCGCATCTGGAATCATAGTGGAATGAATCTCAAACTTGCTCTCAAACGTGACTGCCATGAAGCCTTGAGCATGCTAACAGAACGTGTGAGAGTTTATGAAAATAAAATAAAAAGTTATGAGGCTCGATGCGTTTTCAAAATTCAAAACGCGAGATTTGAATTGTTCAGAAGGCGGTTTTATAGAAAACTAACTAAGGAACAACCTGTTAGCCACAATGTAAGGGCGGAAGAAATCAGGGAGTTCTGGGCCGCGACGTGGAATTCGAAAATGGGAGACGATGATAACCGGCACAATGAATCTGCACAGTACGTTGTCCCCATCTGAAGCCGAATTTGGAAAGATGGTTTCCTGTTTACCCAAATGGAAAGTGGCAGGCGCTGATGGAATCTACAACTTCTTCATTAAGAAGTGCACTCTTTGTATCCAGATCTGTATAAAATAACTAGGCGGATCTGCTTGGTTGGAGAGCAACAGGACCCATGGTTCTACAAAGGAACAATGTATCTGATTCCTAAAGATGTCCCAAACAAAGGTAGTGACTCAAGGCAATAACCTATATGTCAAACCTTTACAAGTTGATAACGAAATGTGTGGCGAATCATATAGCTAGATATTGTCAAGAGAAAACTACTCTCAGACAACCAATTAGGAACTGTTGGAAAAGTTCAAGGTGCGAAAGAGCAGGCACTCTTGATCCTGCCGGTATGCGGAGAGCATGGAAACCAGTTCTTTACCACGTGGTATGACGTTAAAAAATCGTTCGATTTAGTGAGTCACAACTATTTGATTAAGTGTATCGAAAGGCTCAACATGCCAATGTGGATTGTTAGGTTTCTGAGAACCATCATTTCCAGATGGTCGGTTGCATTGAAAAACAATGGAGAAACCATATTAGAGCGAAAAATACAGCAGGGAATCCTTCAAGGTGACAGCCTTTCTCCGCTGTTGTTCGTTTTATGCATGGACCCGTTGAGCCGTAGGCTCAATATCAGAAACCCAAAGGTAGAGGTTCCCATCGATCAAGGAATGCAAATAACGAATCATTTACTATTTGTAAATGATCTCAAGCTCCTTGCTGCCGACGAGAATATCATGAAAGCGAGCATATGTTTCTTCAACTTTATATTTTTGAAGATACTGCATCCACATCTACCAGGAAGACGGCGATTTTGAAGCAGGAAAAGACTCACAACACGTACTTGGCACTTACTGTGCCCTACCTTCAGACTAAATACAACCTCGTAGAAAATGCAACCATCGAAAGCGTATTAGTAGCTCAGAAAGCCCTCCTATATCGCAAAATTGAAAAGAAAACTCGACACGCAAAGCTATACTACAAAGTACGCAGAAATGAGCTAGCTCGATGTCAAACTCACCAATGTGGTCACGATTTGGAAATATTAGCCCACAGGATGAAGCTCAGTACTGTCCCCTCCAAGACAGAAATATGTTTGGAGCTGAGAAAGGTATGTGCCAACATTGTAGGCAATGTGTGAAGGCGGTGACCATCTAACAACGCAGTGTGACAAAATGTTACATCACGACTATACTAGAAGACACAATGAGGTCCTGCGA